GTCATTAGCACCTCTAGTAATATATTTACTGAGAAAAATGGTGACGAGTTCAATACTTATTTTACCCGCTGTATATGCAGTATGTATTTTAATACAGGAGTTAAAATTCATGTTTTATTCCCTCCTGATGAGGTCATTCCAATGAATCTGTGCTTTTCTTTAATAAATGTGTCGTTTCTGCTGAACAGGAACCGGATCCTGATCTTTGGCCTGTTTGTTGAGACAGCCCTGGCTGCCTTCCTCTCTTACTGCCCTGGAATGGACGTGGCCTTGCGCATGTACCCCATGAAGTATGCACCTTATATGCACATGTCCACTGAACCGAAAAATAACCCCTTTAAGCCCTAATAGGCAACCATTAGCCTGTCACTCTCAGCTTCAAATGAAGTCTATGATCCTGTTAAACGCCACATTGTTATCCTTAATATTCAGAAATGACTGCAATGAATTTAACAATTTGCACTCTCTGCCTCAGACTCTCYGCTCTTTCCCGCCTCACTCGTTTTTTTTCTATCCCTCTCTCTCTCAGGATCCTCTGGTGGTTCTGCGCTCTACCCTACAGTTTGCTCATATTTGTTTATGATGAAGTTCGTAAATTAATTCTGCGGAGGAGACCCGGAGGTAAGCTGCTACAGAGAGGAGTTGGAATCAGAAGGCTTCAAATTTATTGTTGAGTTAAAAAAATTGTAAATTAATTGATACATTTTTCCAAAACATAAACACATCCTCCACATTCTGCTTCTTGAAATTCCCAACTCAGCTTGATTTTGCAGACAAATGATGATGATTCGATGAGGTTCATCTCACTGCCTGTCAAACAGTATCTTACCTGTTACAGATAGCTTTTCAAATAACCAGAATTTCGAGAAACTGATACTTATTCTTCCCACATTGTCAAATCAATGGCTGGTTTGAGCGTACAAGCCTGGATTTTGATGATGATGATCCTTTATTGTCGTTGTCAGAGCACAAAGAAATTACATTTAAGAACACCCATTCAAGAGACACACATGACAAACATGGGGGAACAGGGGAACAGGTCATGCTGCAACCAGCAGGGGTCAGTCTATCTTTAAAAAGAAAAACAAAAATACCACACAAGGGTAGATGGGGAAAAAAAATAAAACATCAAATTTTATCAACTAAATATGATACACTATGGTGTTTATAGAAAAAAACCTCTGCAGAGCAAGAATTTATTAGCCAGAGTAGTGAGACATCTAACATTAGCCCTGAGTGAGTAATTAATTTTTACAGTTAGTTTAGTTTATTTATTTCTTTAAAAGCAACAACATAAATTCAACAAACAAAAAAATACAAACAAATTAAATGAAAGGTAGCAGAAGAATAACAAAATCTTATTATATCTGCCCCTTTTTCTCAAATAAATAAATTCAATC